GAGGTGTAACTCGAGGAGATATAAAAAGAAGAGTTTATATATATATATATATATATATATATATATATATTGAATAAAGATATTTTTCTTGATTTGTTTTTTGTATAATAATATGAAAATGCCCTTGCCTCCTACGTTGAAGAGTAGCCTCTCTTCATTCTTATGCAAAGGCATTATTAAAGAAGACCTTCCTTTTGGGCCTTGGGTAATCCCAAGAAATGAAATTTTTCTGCTGTCTCCTCTTTCTTATGCAACTGTAAACCTCAAACCTGTTGTGCGAGGCCACTGCCTTGTTGTCCCTAGAAGAGTGGTTCAAGTGGGTGTTAAAAGAAAATAAAAACGAATAATAATAATTATTATTATTATTATTGTTTATATATTGTTGTTGCTTTTATTTAGGCACTAATAATGTTATTTTTAAGTTAAAAAATGGTTTTTCGTTGAGGGTTTTGTCTCTTTTAATACATATATTTATATATGTTTATAATGACGACGATGGGACTCGAACCCACAACCTTCTGATCCGAAGTCAGACGCCCTATCCATTGGGCCACGCCGCCTTACAGTTTTTTCTTTTTTTGTATTTGCTGAGAGTCTCAGAGATGCATTTTTATCTTCATCAATTCTTTTTGTTAGCTCTTTCGCCTCTTCAGGTGTATGCGGAAGAGTATGCGCTCCGGGGTGTATAGGCAGCTCAGAGGGGCTTCGATTGCTGTATCCTAATGTGCATAATTTACTATAAGTGTACATATGTATATATAAATTAGATATATATATATATATATACATATTTATTTATTTATTTATTTATTTTATTTTATACATATATATAATATATATTTATATGCATATATATGTATGTATATGGCCCGTTCTCTATGGTGATCTCTAGGATGTCTGTACAGAAAAAAGTTTTTTAAGGATCTCCATCTGTTGTTCTCGCCTTCTTCTTGGCGCGTGTATGCACACTAAAACTGCATGCAGAAAATCTGATATAATCCCTTTGAGATCTTGTGCTGCGCTGCTGCTGCTTCTGCTTCTGCTGCTGCTGCTGCTGTTGCTGCTGCAGCGTGTGAGTGAGCTGTCTGCAGAGGAGGTATCCGACTTATTTAGTATGGTTCAGGTAGTAGGGGAGGTGCTGCAGCGTCGATACAGTCGAGAGGCGCAGACAATCTCTATTCAAGACGGCAAGGAAGCAGGGCAGACAGTCCCTCACGTGCATGTCCATGTGCTGCCCCGAAGCGCTACTGATTTTAAAAAGAATGATGATGTTTATGAAGCGTTAGATAAAACAAATCTAAGCAACAGAACTGGCAAAGGACCAGACTGCGAAGACAGGCCGTAAGAAAAACACTCAATAACTATATATATATATATATGATCTATGTGTATCTATATATATTATTCGAGTGTGCATATATGCAAATATATAATTTATATGTACATATACGTAATTTCTACGTGTTTATGTATGCATATATATATATATATACACGGTGAGGTGTATGGGCAGCTATCTGTCTGTCTGACGCTCCTCGGGTGTATATGGTGCTGCCTCTGTCTGTTGTTCTTGTCTGTCTGCGGCAAACCCTCTTTGCTTTTTTCTTGTCTAGATAATCAGCCCCTCTACGTGTTAGTTGTTTATTGCTGCTGTAATGGAGACACCCTAACTTCAAGTGTCACCGCAGCTCCACTGCTGCAACGCCGGGTGCTCTTGTGCCTAAATTATATATATGTACATTATAGAATAGTATATATATACACTTATACATGTATATATATATATATATATATTAATACATAAATGCACACGCGTACATAGAAACTTCTACATTTCATATACAGGGCAAACAAGCATGCATGCTTCATAAACGGCATCTTTCTTTCACCCTGTCTGTGTGTCTGCCCCTTTATATATATATATATATATATATATTAGTATATATATAATATATATATACTATATACACCTCAAGCCAGCGTCCTCGTGTTGCATTGCTTTTATTGCATTATTTTGCTGCATTTGTTTTCATGTTATTTAATTGTTTTGTTTTTATTATTTTTTGTTTTGTTTATTGTTCTCCCTCAGGCCCCGCAGGAGAGAAGAAATGGCTGAGGAGGCGGCAGACCTCCGCGACTTCTGCAATAAACTTCTCAATGAAGAATGAGACAAAATGATGATGTATTACAGCAGCAGCAACAGCAACAGCAGCAGCAACAGCAGCAGCAGCAGCAACACCAGCATCCGCAGCAGGAACAGCAGCAGCACAATCTTTATTGAATCTTCTTTGATCTTAGGAGGAGTAAGGAGACACTTAAGTTAGGGTCAGAGGGGCGCAAGGATGCCCCTTCACTGCCAATACACGATCAGTCTGAACATGAAAAAAACAGAGTCCTTTTGCATGCAGTTGGTTTGCTTAAGAGAAACCAAAGGCAATAATATACCTGCTGCTGCTGCTGCGCTCGCTGCTGCTGCTGCTGCTGCATTTGCTGCTGCTGCTGCTGCTGCTGCTGCTGCTGCCGCTGCTGCCGCACCACGTCTCGCATAGAAAATCGTCATAATAGCAATAACAACATTTTATATACAATAAAAATACAAAAAAAACAAAGAAGACCCTCAAGTCTCTGCACGGGGATTAGGGGGGCCTTCATTTGTTTGAGTGGCTGCTGGATTAATTAGGAATATATCTGTGTTGGTGTTGTAATAGCCCGTAGATATCGCTGATAATATATCATCTTCACTTCCTGCTGCTGCTGCTGTTGTTGTTGTCGCTGCTGGTTTGGGGCCTTGGTAAGCCCAGATATCCTGCACGTAGTTGGGGTGTACGGACTGCTGGAGGGAGCTGCTGCCGCCTTCCCAATGTGCTGCTGCTGCTGCTGCTGAGCTCTGATGATGAGGAACCCTGGGGTTTTGCCGCAGCTGTGGGGTGTCTGGAGGCGGATGTGCAGAGAACAAAACACACAAAACAAACTCAAGCACCACGAAGAGCAGCAAACGCCAGCCCGCCAGCCGCTCTAAGGGGGCCTCCGGGTCTGAGAGAGGCAGACACACCATGGGGGATTGCAAAGTATGCTGCTTCTGCAGCTTCTGCTGCTGCTGTTGAACCTCAATGGGCAATATATGCACAGAAGAAAACAAACGGTGCCGGTCGTGAGGATTGGCTGAGTGCGCTTTGGCCTCAACGAGGAGCGGGAGAATCCGTTAAGATATGCAAACAATACCAGATAACAGAAATCAGGTGTACAGACACCTGGAAATACCAGATAAGACAAGGGGAAGAAAGGAAGCGACACTTCCTTTGGTGCGGTCTGTAGAGGGTGTTTGTTGGTGGTTTGCAGAGAAGATACAATTTTCCGGGAAATCGAGAGAAATTAGGAATACTGAGTCAATTCCGCTTCTTAAAAGAAGTGATTTAGATGGAAAAGAAAAAGAAAACACCCAGCTTACCTACAAGAGCAAGCAGATTCGTACTCAACACTATGTACAACATCAGAGGAGGGTGATGGATACTCCCCGCACCATTGGACAGGTGGTTGCAGAGACGGTTGAATAAAATGAAAAATAAATTCTTTTTTCCTTTTCTCCCCGCCAAAGAACATCAAAATTCATAGTTTTCCCCTTGCTTTCTTGAATTCAAAATCTCGTGCACATTCCATTTGAGGTGTATGTACACCTCAAATCCAGATGCAAAGCACCACCGAGACAGACTGCTAGAAACCTCCGGGGCCGGTTAACAGCTTTAATCCTGACAATTAAATTTGTTATATTTATTATCTTTAACGTTTATTTCAAGTGTAAATACTCTTTTAAATGCACCCCCCCCCCCAAAAAAAAGACGAGGAGCGGCTGCCCTCAGTGAAACTTGAACAGAGGCACTTGCATACAGTAGGAAACAAATCGTAAATTTGAAAGGAATTGAATTTAAGAGTAGTTTAAGCGGATTTTGGAGAAAAAGATGCCTATACACCTGAGTGCAACGCACTTGCTAAAATAAGAAGTACTCTCGGATTCTGCATGCAGTTGAGGTAATCTATGGGTGTGGTGCAAGGTGCGGAAGTTCTTATTCTTGTTTTTCATTTCTACAAGATAACCCCCCCTACTTTTCCAACAAAAATGCAGCAGAATAGGTTGTCTAAAGCTGTCTTACCGTGTTTTTCTGCAGCGTGCAGGTTGCAGCAAAGGATGCGTTCATACTAACAGATTTCTCTCAGTCTACAAATGCATCGAGGGGAAATTAAGGTCTTTCTATGAAAAGCTGTCTATATAGTTAATATATGAGTACCTATACACATGTATAGCAACAGCCTCCTCCTTCCAGACGCAGCATTTACTCTCCCTGTCTCCATATGTATATGCAATTGTATGCACATATATTAATCTACAAATATATATATATATAGAGAGAGAGAGAGAGAAAGGGGGTCGAAAGGTGCGTATAGAGTGCAACTAATTGGCCAGTTGAATTGGGGTGAGTTTATTCATGAATAAAATAGGTATATCTTCAAGAGGTTAAGCATAAACATGCTTAGCTTAGGGCTTAGGCCTCTACTAAAAGGGTGTAGGGTTTATAAAGAAGAGGGAGGCTTCCTACTGTATGATGCTAGGATATAGAATATATAAATATTTATTTATTTATTTATTATTTATTCATCTATTTATATGGCGCGGTGTACGTACACCTCGGATAGACAAAGAAAGCCCTAAATGCCAATGTGTTCGTGCAGCAGAAAGCCTCTAAATGAGGCGCTGCAGTGTATCGTTAGGTGCGCGTACACCTGAAACAAAGACAAGTTTTTTTTGGTGCATATACACCTGAAACCGGAAGCATCGTTCAACACGTAACCCAGCAGCTAACTATCCCTTGTTGCTGCAGATTGTCTCCTATGGGAGACCTGCTGCTGATGTGTCTCCTTTTGTCTGCATCCGTTCATCTCCTTCTCCCTGTCTCTCTCCTAATGTTTCTTTCTTCGCCTTTCGCGCTAAGGAACTTTTTTATGCTTCTCTCTCTGTTCATCAACCCCCGGTGATGTCTCCCCTAAGAAGGGACATAGACACGTTTGTTTCTTACTCGCTCACTCCTCTCTCTCTCTCTCTCTCTCTCTCTCTCTCTCTCTCTCTCTCTCTCTCTCTCTCTCTCTCTGTCTGTCTGTCTGTCTCTCTCTCTCTGTCTCTCTCTCTGTCTCTTTGTGTCTTTGTCTGCCCCCTCTTCTGCCTTTTTCTGTATCTGTCTGTCTTCTTCTGTCTCTGTTTGTTTCTTTGTCTCTATCTTTGTTGATATTTGTAGTTTGTTTGTTTTTTCTTGTTTTGTTTGCTGAAAGTTTATTCATTCATCATCATTAAAAAGATTTGTGTCTCCTTCACCCTCTTCTTCTGTCTCCTCTCCTTCATCGCGGTAGCGTTCAAGAAGGCCCCCGACAGCTGCACTTGTATCTGGTTGCTGCTGATTGTTTTGCTGCTGCTTTACTGCATCTATTTCTTTATCTTTGTCTTTGTTTATAAACTCCTCTGTGTCTCTGTCGTGCCCATCAGCAGCTGTCTCTATTTCTTCTTCTTTATCTTCAAAGCCGCTGTCTCTGTCTTTAATTCCACTCTTAAGACGCTTCTTAGGGGGTTTTGTCTCTTCTGCTGCTTCGCTCTCGCTGCTGCTGCTGCTGCTGCTGCTTTCTTTCTCGCTTTCAGTATCTGTCTCCTTTTGTCTCTTCAGCTGTCTCTCTGTCCCTCTAGAACTCTTTAACGCCTTTAATTCTTTTTCACGCTCTTGTTTATTTCTTGCTGCTGCTCTTTCACCTCCAGCAGAAGCAGCAGCAGCACCACCACCACCCCCAGCAGCAGGAGCAGCAGGAGCAGCAGCAGCAGGTGCAGCAGCAGGAGCAGCAGGAGCAGGAGAAGGTTGAAGGCCCCTCTCTAGTTTAGCTTTTGCTTCTTTTGCTGCTTCTGCATTTGCTGCAACGCATGCATCTATCCAGTCCCCATACACATCAATACCTTCATCTAATCGAGACACCGGGCGACTGTATGCAGCACCGCACACGCGACAGCTCAAAGAACCGACGCCTCGAACTCTGTCTCTGAACATATAACAAACAAAATAAACAAATAAATACAATTAAATAAACATATATATGTATAAATATAAATATATTGATGTATGTATTTATATATATAAACAAACTGTGGATTTAAGCAAAAAAAGAAAAGAAATAAATAAATGCATGCATACATACAAACTACCCGACTAATTCTGTCTCTAAACATATAACAAACAAAACAAATAAATATAAATATATATATATATATATGAATTGTGGTTTGAAACAGAAAAAGAGGAGAGAAAAACAATATACAGAGACAGAGACAAAGACAAAAAGAGACACAGAGAGAAGGAGACAGTTAAGGAGACAGCGCCCCACAACAGAGGAGCAGACAGGAGGAGACAAAGAACAGCCCCACAACCAAAACAAACCCTAAACCCTAAACCCTAAACCCTAAACCCTAGAGCAGGAAAGAGGAAAGGGTTGATCAGGAGATGCATTTGCACTGGGGTGTACGTACAGCTCAACTTTAACAGCCTTGGAGTGACTGCAGAAGGGACAGTCAAATTCTTTGTCTAATTTCGGTATTCTTTTGGGTTTAGGTTTCATAGAGGAGCTCTTTCTCTTCCCCATTTTCGGTGTACGTACACCTCAAATGCATGCAGCTGTTTGTCTGTTGCCGGCTAGGATTTGCTGCTGCTGCTGCTGTTGTTGTTGTTGTTGTTGTTGCTGCTGCTGCTGCTGCTGCTGTTTTGTTGGGGTCTTGTTGTTGTTCACGTTGCTGGTGGTGTTTCTTGTTGTGGGTAAGGCCTCGGCAGAAGAAAACAACCCTAAACCCTAAACCCTAAACCCTAAACCCTCAGCGTTCCCTTGTTAGCGTTCCCTGAGGATAAAGAATAAAGAAGCAAGAGCCGCTTGTAAACAGTGGTCGAGTGGAGCCGCCGCCAATAAATTCCCAAGACTCAAAACCCTAAACCCTAGACCCTAAACCCTAAACCCTAAACCCTCAGTCAGGACTATAAGCATTGTTTGTTTACTTTGGATCTAGGGTATTTTAGATGTTGCATTCGTTTGCATATTAATTAAATAAAACAAGAAAGGTGCGAAAAATACAAACAATAACAACAAATCCCCGAGCAAACAGCAGAAGAAGAAAAGAAAAGGGTAGAGGGTAAGGGCCCCCAAGGGGGGCCCCCTGGGGGCTGTTGCTTTCTTATCATCGAGTTATGTTTTGTTTGTTTTGTTTTGTTTTGTTTGTTTTGTTTGTTCATTTTTAAATTGTGTTAAACCCTTTCTAATAAATTTAACTCTTGCAAGAAGAAAGAAAGCCGCATCAAAAGAAAAAAAGGGTTTTGCGTTGTGCCGAGGGTTTACGTTTAGGGTTTAGGGTTTAGGGTTTGAACGTCTCCTCAAATCGTAGTTGAGGGTTTAGGGTTTAGGGTTTATTATTTACGATGTATGGCGGGTTACATGCCTCTATAGGCTCAGAGTTAAGGGTTTAGGGCTTACGGGTTGCAGCGCAACTAGATGAGGGTTTAGGGTTTAGGGTTTAGGGTTTGTTTTATCTTAGATTACTATGGCCTTCAGAGAAAGACACGGAATTAAAACAAACGTTGAGATGCATTTTAATGAATATACATTTTATTATTAATACACTGCTATAGTAAACGCACCATTTTCTGTGCTAAGTACAGTACATATGCAAATATATAATTGAATATATACTCAACTATATAATATGCATACAATAAATATATATATATATATATATTTGTTGAATATATATAATTATTGTATATATAGTTGAGTATATATTAAGTACGGTGTTTTATAGTTAGAAATATACATATATATATGTATATATATATGTATATTTATACTATGTTCTTTAAAATACTACTTGGTGGTTTAAATGCACCTTTTTGTGTTTCCTCTGCGCGTAGAAAACCCAAAAAAACCTCCTGCTGCACCCACTGTACTCTACTGAGACTCCTGTTTCTTATCCTAGGATTAAGTTGAGATGCAACAGAACAGCAATATTTGAAATAAGAGCTCCTGCAAGAGCATCAAAATGTCTCCCTCTAATGCGTAGCGGCAAGCAAGGGCCTCGGAATGATAAAAGAAGAGGCGGCCCAACACGAGTTGCAGCTCAGGCCAGCTCTGCATGACAGCCCCACACGAAAAGAAAGAGAAAAAAAAACCTCTTTGCTGCATGCATTACCCCTGTATACAAATTGTTAACACTTAGTCGTCCATAACTACCCAGTATTCGCGCAAGGAGAAGTACACGTACTAACTTCGTATTGACCTTCGTACATCTCCCCTAAGTAGTAAACTTCCTTGCTTGTGCTTTGTTGCCTAGAAAATAATGGCTGGACGGGGGTAGCAAACTCTTCACAAGGGCTATTGCTGAAAGGAAGCTGCTTCTGGCTTTTGTTCTGGAAGAGTACAATAAGAAAAGGAAACGAGGATGATCGCAGACAGTCGAAGTTGCACTAAACTGTGCTTGGCTGGTAGAACATCAGGACACTGCGTCAACAGCCACTTTGTTATTACACTCTGGATATAAAGTGCGAAATCGTACCGCATGGGCTGGTGAAACCTCCAAAGGACTTCTTCGATATCGTAATATTTTAAACCTATTCATCTAATTTACAAGGGGTGATACTGCTGCTATTTTTAAAATGCTGATGCTGTATTACCCCCAACCAGACGGTAGAATCACCCAGTAGGCGTGAAAGGGTTCTACGCCCTTTTCAAAGGAAACGTGAGCGAGTAGCAAACCAATATTTGCTGGCTTTTTAAGTAGTTGACTTGCAAACAGACTCTCACCCTAACTGCTGTACCACTGGCATGGGTTGCTACAGAGAGGAGCTTCTCGATATCTGGAAGAGCAAGTACGGGGAATGATCAGCGTCTGATGAGGCTTCTCTCGGCTTCTTCTGCAGTCCCTGTCCAAATAAATTTACTGTCCATCTTGCGTTAGTCCGTCTGAAGGGCGGCAATCCAGGCTAGTTGAGAAATAGAGCCGTACTACTGCGATGGGAGACGGAGTAATTTCTAAACGTCTAGTGGAGTGTACAGAAGTACTGGCCAAGCCCGAACGGTCTCTATAGTCGCCGGGCTTGGCCTGCTTTCATTTCTGATGCAGACGCACATTTGCCCAGTAAGCTCGTCGTTGCTTACGTGAGAAGCGAACACTTTTGTGCTACGTCGAATTACTGCTTCTTAGGTTTTAGCAGTTGCAGTGCATGCCTCAGATGCTGTCAATGCTAGTGCATATTCCATCTAGATATAAACGCCTCGTCCGTGTATTCAAACATCGTGACTAACCTTTCGGTTTAGTTGTTCAGGCGCATTCACAGGCACAAGTGCACATAGATCACCTCAAGTTGGCCTTTGTGGGTGTAGAAAGCAGTTTCGTGTCTCTCCTCTTGATGGATAGAGCTGCGCAAAAAGGCTTCAGCGACGTCGAACGATAGATATAGATTGCTGAATCCAGCAACCATTCAAGAAGTCCGTTGATCGGGGGCATGGGAAACCCTTTGCTTTCTGTTGAGGGGCTTCAAGTCGAGGCACTCGGGCCACCTCTCGCCCTTGGTCCTCACCATCACGGAATTGTCTCCAAACGCGCTAACTAGTAGTTGAGTTTTGCTTTTTTTCTAACAGTGTGCTCTCTTACTGTTTGGGACTACTGGTATGTTATAGCAAAGTTTGGGTTGCACCTAGAGTAGGTTCAATGCGGTGCACTGAGTGTACAGCGTGAGGCCTTCAAGGCCGTAGCTCCTTTTATTCAAAATAACTGAAAGTTATCCTGAAATAAGGCCCTGTTCTGCTCTCTTTGGGTCTGAGCTGAGTCATATTCCGCAAGAAGGCGGTAGTTGTAAAACCATCACAGGGAATGCGCATGCACTGCTCTGTCGTTTCCTGCAGCGCCTCTGCACTGCACAGGACTATCCCCATTCCTTTCTCCTTGGGGAGCCCTTTTTACTCCATCTACCGCTGAAAGTGAAACTCCCATTGGGAGCGCTGAGAAGCTTAGTCACCCACTGCTTCCCGGCAATGTAGCGTATCGTCTGGGGGCAGCATGTTGGCCCTCCGCTGAGTCATGCACGACATTCATATAACAACCTAGATACAAGAACCGTATCATGGAAATATAACTCATTCAGAGAATTATTATGAAGCTGAATAAGCACAGAATTGAGTGGGGGCGGATCTGCAGATGCAGCTGCCACCCCTTTTGGCCTCGCCATTCCTTGCACGTTGAGTGGGGGCCCGGGTGTACCCATGATCACGTTGTTTATTCCCCTAGAGACGACGCTGGAAGTGTTGCTTCTCCAGTTTCTCAGCTCCTTTCATGCGTTTGCAGTCTCTAGTGATGTGAGCTTTCTTTCAGCATTTAGCAAGAAGCAAATGCGCCCCTCGGAATGAAGCAAATTATCCGGCTGCCGTCTGTTTCCACTTCGTATCTTCTTCTGGGCGGCGCCTCCAGCATTCACCGCCCCAATATACAGCGTCCCTATGCCTGACTCATTTTAAAACCAGTTTTATTACTTTTCAACTCGTGCGTTGGAAGTGGCGTTTATTCTTTATTTGATGCGGGAGCACTCCTCTAGGAGAGGCCCACTGTTTAGCCCTTGATTTCCCTCTACGCGGCTCAGCCGGTGGGGGGCAATCCTTCTGTGAATCATTAATGCAGTTGTTCTGAGTCCGCTCTCCTGTGGGAAATTTGTCTACCCAAGGACTAATGCTGTTGGATGCAGCGCTCTATCGTCATCTGTTTCTTGACCCTCCTCAGTTTCGTCATTTTCTGCACCCTTGCCGAACACAAATATATATATATATATATATATATATATATACACCATAAAAAGAACAAAGAGACAAAACAGCCATGCAATAAAGCATACAGTGGTTACGAAAGGGCAACTCGAGGGAAACAAGGAGTTATTCTACGTCGCTGCGCGTGCCCTAGCAACATAGCCGGCAAAGGCTGGATTATGTTTACTATGTTTTCTGGATTCAATTACATTTATAAACAATTCCCGCTGAAGAGGAAACAAATACTGCGTTTCTTTTTACGCAACGAGTCGCCGAGCTGTCGACCGCTTCGTCAGATGACAGCAGATCCTGACCCCCCCGAACGTGAGCGGAGGAAAGGGCTGAGCCTTGGATATAGATTTCCGAGCAAAATCGAATGTGCTTTTTAATTATTATACTTTTTCAAAAGTGCCCTCGCTAACTCTCCCTTCTATGCATCAGCAACTGTCCAGTGCTACCACGCATCACAAAGCCCTCCGTCCTATATGAGGAACATCACGAGCTGCAAAACAGTTGAAAATAAACTTCAGAAAAGACTTCCTAAGAAGCACCGGATGGCCCCTCTGCCTGTCCCCAGGAGAACCGCGAACGGTGAGGCTGTTGCGATAGGAGGCCCGACGTATGTCGCAAAGCACCGTGCTGTAATTAGTGCTGCTAGACAGCCCCGCATGCAGACTCACCTAAGCCCCATATGCTGCATGCGCTAACCCTATGTGCAACTGCTAAACACTTAATCGACCCTCAGTAGGCAGCCTGCACGCAAGTGCAAGTGCATGCATAATCTAGGGAAACAGAATGTCGATAGATCTGCACAGAGCACAACACCCCAAACCCAGCCATAGTAGAAGAAGATATTGCGTTGTTTGGGAAGAAAATCAAACAACGCAATTTATCCTTCTTCTAGGGAGTTTGTGTGTAGCTGTTGTTGGCGTAAGGCGTTCTTTATCCCTGTGAAACTATGAAGAAAGAGGGGCACTAAACACGAAAAAACTTTCAAATGCAGGACAACCAGCAACTGCATGCAGGAGAAACAAACTATAATCCTTCTTTAAAAGGAATTAGGATAGATAAACTGAGAAGCAATGAGGCAAAAGCGAGAGGTAATGTGCGGCGGTGGTTGCTTATGGGGTCTGGTGTTGGGTGGGTCTGAGGGCAGCGGCAGAAAAGCAATAAGAGAAGCAAAAATTCATTCTTTTAGGGAAGTTTCCGGATAAAAGAGCGAAAAAATTTATAACGGATATTTTTTTATTGCTTGAAGATGATGAAAGAATAAGAAAACAAAGAGAGCGGCACCCAACCAGCTGCTGCAGCTGCGGCGGCTGGGGCCCCAGTATAAGCGGCTGTTGGGTTTGTTTTTTTGTTTTACTTTGTTTTTATTTTATGAAATGCCTTTATATAGCTAGAAATAAAATGATTTAAAGGGTAAAACTTATACTCAAGTGCCGATATATTTGTTGTGAACCTGAGCGTATTCGCTGCTACTGCCGCTGCACGCAGCTGTTTGTATACAGCAACTTCTTAATTGGCTCTGCAAGACTTTGTGTGCTATTGCTTCTCTCTTTGCTTACTATCTCTCAAGTGTTTGTTTTCTTGTTTATTTTATTTTCTTATTATTCAAAAGAATCGTCGGAGGGACCTGGGGCGCAGAGCAGAAGGCTCAGCAGCCAGCTCGCTGCTGTGTACGTACGTCTACATTCGTAACGGAAACAAAGGAGTTTTCTTTCTTTTCTTCTTCTTTCTCTTCCGTATCTTCTTTTACCTTTCTTTTCGCTTCTTTCTTACCTCTCTCGAGCCTACAACAAGGCTTATGAACAGCTGCAGGTGCGGCCTCCATAGAGCCTCCAGCTGTTGTTGTTGCTGCTGCTGCTGCAGCCCACCAGCACCGCCCCCCAGGAAGCGTAAGGGAAATTGCTGCATTTTATCTTCTTCTTTCGCTTTCTTCTGCGGTCTTAGTTCTTTTAATTGCTGCCGACGCTGTGACAAGCAGCGAGAGATTATTTAGCTGCTTGTGGTGTCCAGAGCGCGGTACTCTGTGTAGCAGCAGCAGCCTTTATTGTATCTTGCTGTTTTAAATTTTCTTGTATATTTAAAAAAAGATATTTCTTCTTTGAAGCCCTTACTCAGCACGCAGCTTCGCTGGGCGTCATTCTTCTCTTTCCCAGCGAGCTGCAGCTGACTTCTTTGTATTTCTTTTCTTGTTGCTGTTCTTTGCTGCACTTTATAGTGCTGCAGCTTGAGGCTGTAGATCCACCAGGCAAGCAAAGAAGCAACTAGCAAACAACAATCATTAGAGGAAATAAACAAAGGAGATAATGGGGTGTATTCCGTCAAAGAAAGGCCCTGCGCCTCCTGCTTCGGCAGAAGATAGTAAAAAACACTCTGATGATAGAACACAGGCTCAGAGCTCAAGCGGCGCTGATGCGAAAGCAGCAGAAAAGACACAGAAGGATACAATGACTATGACGCCTGGTACGAGACCGGCTTAGGGTTTAGGGTTTAGGGTTTAGGGCTTGTTGCGCGAGGGTTTCCGGTTGTGCTCTTCGTTCTTTTCAAGGACTGCTCGGTAGTTATTAAGCATTTAGGGTTTAGGGTTTAGGGTTTAGGGTTTACGGGTGAATTGGGTCAGTGGGTAGAGAGAGGCGATATTACTTTTCTTTCCCTTGCGTGCAAACCGCCAACAGTACACAACTTGTATAATATATCTCAGGTGTATACATAACAGTAAAATAATACAACTGTATCTATAATATATTTATATATGTAAGTACAAGATAATAAATGCATGCAACTAGTATTTTTTTCCTTTGCTTATTGCAGGCATGTACATCGTGCAGCAGCGCGGACATCTGAGCGATCGATATCAACGCGTAAAGAAGTTGGGTAGCGGTGCGTACGGCGAAGTGTTATTATGCAAAGACAAACAGACAGGAGCAGAAAGAGCAATTAAAATTATTAAGAAATCTTCCGTCTCTGCCCCCAACAGCGGCGCTCTCTTAGAAGAAGTTGCAGTACTTAAACAGCTCGACCACCCGAATATCATGAAGTTGTACGAGTTCTTTGAAGATAAAAGAAACTACTATTTGGTAATTCATTTGCATGCTTTTTCTTCGCTTGTTCCTTTCTTTGTTGCTTGATTTCTTTCTTTGTCTTGCCTCTATGCTTGTTTTGTTTGGCTTATTGGGTGCGGGCATGCGGCTGAGGAGCAGCTTAGCAGTGCTAACTACGAAAAATGTTTTCATGAAGATTAAAACGCGTATTTAGTGGAGTATTTCGTTTATTAGGTATTTATTCTTCTTGCTTTATTTGCATTACTAATGAGTAAAAGAAAAAAACTTACCCGGGTCTGAAGATACAACGCAGTGGATTGCAACGTCTGCGCGATCTTAGCCTTTTTTACGCTTTTCTAGTCAAATCTTTTGAATCATTAAAATTATTATTCAAAATCCATTGCTTACATGCCCTTTTATCGGAAGATTCCCTTAGGTTTCCCTCCTTATTTCTCTTTTTCCTGCTCGTCGTTTCAGGTGTACGTACACCTCAGTTGCGCTGCACGGACCGCAATCATCACTTTGATTCTTGTATTTGTATTTGCGCAGGTTATGGAAGTTTATGGAGGCGGCGAACTGTTTGACGAAATTATATCTCGACAGAAGTTCTCGGAAGTAGATGCAGCAGTAATCATGAAGCAAGTGTTGAGCGGTGTAGTGTATCTGCATAAGCACAGCATTGTTCATCGCGATTTGAAACCTGAAAACCTTCTTCTCGAGTCTAAGGCCAGAGATGCATTGATTAAAATTGTCGATTTCGGTCTCTCTGCCCACTATGAAGCTGGAGGGAAAATGAGGGAAAGACTCGGCACGTAAGAAAGAAGCACTTTGAACTTATCTTCATTAGTCTTTCTTATTCGCTTTCTTTTACTCCAGTACTTCAGTGCAGCAGCACAAGCACAATCGATACAGAGAGAAATACAATAATACACGCATTCACTATACACAAGATAGGGAGAAATATATATATATATATATTATATATATGACAGGAGAGGCGATTGATTATGTCACAATTAAGATGTTGGAGTGCTTTCGCTAGTCCTATGTTTTTTTCTCCTTTTGAAATTCTTTTTGTTTGTTTCAGTGCATATTATATCGCTCCAGAAGTTCTGAGGAAGAAGTACGACGAAAAGTGCGACGTTTGGTCTTGTGGTGTTATTTTGTATATTCTTCTCTGTGGGTATCCGCCATTTGGAGGTCAAACAGATCAGGAGATATTAAAGCGTGTTGAGAGAGGGAAGGTGAGTTTTTTTGTTTGTTTCTTTTGTTTACTTCGTTGTAGAGAAGCTTTACTTAGTTTGTTTTCTTTCTTCGCGCCGTTTGATTTCGTTTATGATGATTTTTGTTGATTTGTTGGTAAGCAGGCAAAAACACAACTTTGTTGTGTTTTTGCCTGCTTCTTTCTTTTATTTTTTCCTGTTGTATTGTCTACAGTCTTTTGTCTAGGTTAGCATCTGTGCTGCTCTTGTTGGTGCTGTTCATTATTTGTTGTTGCTGCTGGGTTTGTTGTTGTTTATTGATGCTTCCGCTGCTGTTTGCTCTTGCTTCTATTCACTGCTGTTGAAATTGAGGGTGCTTGCTGCAGCCTTTGCTGTTGCTGCTTTTGCTGCTGCTTTTGCTGCTGCTGCTGCTTCTGGTGGCGTTGCTGCTTTATTTGCTGTTGCCTCTGGTGCTGTTGTAGTTGCTTTTGCTCTTGCATTTGTTGCTTTTGCATATGTAGTATTTGCCTATATATATAGTGCATGTGAAGATACATGCAAATAAATAAACAAATGTACATAAAAGTGCATTCATATGAATTTATAATAAATAAAAAATGTATATATATATATGTATGTTTGTTTTGTTGTGCATTACTATGTTTAGTTTTCGTTTGAAATGCCTGACTGGGGCCACGTATCGGAAGAAGCAAAGGATTTAGTGCGGCGTATGCTTACCTACGACCCGACTAAAAGAATATCTGCAGATGAATGTTTGCATCATCCGTGGATTGTCAAATTTTCTGCTGAAAAGGACACTGATATGCCCAAGCATGCACTCACTGGAGCCCTAGGAAACATGAAGAAATTCCAGTGAGTATATATATATATATATATGTATGTATATGTATGTATATCTATGTATATATATATGTATACATATATGTATATATATGTATATATACTTGTTTATTTATTTATTTGTTTTGTTATCTAGTTAGTTAGTTTTATTTGTTTATGCTGATTTATTTATGTATTTATATGTCTATATACATCTATATATATATATATAATGTATGCGTACACGCGTTGATGTTCATTCTTATTATTCTTATTCGTATTATTGTTATTATTGCAGTTATTATTATTATTATTTTATTACTGTTTTATTATTATTTTAGCATTATTTTTAGTGTTGCTGTTCTTTTTTATAGGGGGATGGCTGAAGGTTTGCGTTTTTGTTGTATGCAATAATTGCTGTTATTACTTTTTCATTCATTTTTATATTCATATTCATTATTATTATATTGCCGCTATTATACAATTATTATTATTATTATTATTATTATTATTATTATTATTATTGTTATTGTTTTGTTGTTATGAGTTATTATAAAGATTACAAGTCAAGTGCTCGCGAGTATGAGTGTGGTTATGATGTTGAATTTCAAGATGAGCGTTTATAGTAATTCTCTTTATTTATACAGCATACATATATATATATATATAGAAATGCTATGTATATATATGTATCGAATTATCACATGCATATATAGAATTACTGTATATATATAGTACGTAATAAGAGGATTCAATACATTATTCTTTTTCTTTCTTTTTTTTGCGTTTTGTTTGTTTAGAGCAACTCAGAAGCTGGCCCAAGCAGCAATGTTGTTTATGGGGTCGAAGCTAACGACAGTAGAGGAGACGAAAGAGCTGACGACTATCTTCAGAGCTCTTGATAAGAACGGTGATGGACAGCTTGATAGAAAAGAATTAATTGAAGGGTATAGAAAGCTCCTCGAGGTAAACAACAACAAAAAAACAAACATATATAAGGAATGCATGCGTGATAGAATCTTATTTCACATATTTACCTATTTATTTAATATATATAGTTATTCAAGTATACACATACAATATACATATATACATGCATATATTATATTGTATAATATTATATTATATAATATTATTCAATATTATATTATTTAATACACATACAATATACATATATACATGCATATATTATATTGTATAATATTATATTATATATATATATTATTAAATTGAATTTAATTAAGTATTATTTGTTGTGCATTACAGTGGAAGGGAGAGTCTGGAGAAGTGGATGAAGCGACGATTGAAGCGGAGGTCGATCAAATCCTCGCAACTGTCGACTTTGATAAAAATGGATATATTGAATACTCAGGTTAGTCAGCCTTTATATTCATTTAACTCTTTCTAAGGTTAATTTATTTATTTAACTCTTTTTGGCTGTATTCATTTGACTCTCTTTGGCTATATTCATTTAACTCTTTTGAGGTTAATTTATTCATTTAACTCTCTTGGGGCTTATTCATTTAACTCTCTTAGGGCTTATGCATTTAACTCTTTTAGGCTTTGTTTATTCAGTATACTCTCTTAGGGTTTATTCATTCATTAGGGTTTTGTAGGGTTTATTTATTCATGAAACTTCTGTAGGGTTTATTCATGAGGGTTTAGTAAGGTTTATTCATGAGGGTTTAGTAGGGTTTATAGGGGTTTATTACGGTTTAGGGTGGGGTTGAGGGTTTAGTTAGGGTTTGGAGGCTAGGGTTTAGGGTTTCGGGTTTTGGGGATACTGTTTGGGGTCTAGGGTTTAGCGCTTAGTGTTTATTACGGTTTAGGGTTTAGGGTTTAGGGTTTAAATGCATGCGTTTTGCTTGCTGCTGTTCAGAATTCGTCACGGTTTGCATGGATAAGCAGCTGCTGCTCTCCCGCGAGCGGCTGCTGCAGGCATTTCAACAGTTTGATAGCGACGGCTCAGGGAAGATCACCAATGACGAATTAGCAAAGGTGGGTTTAGGGTTTAGGGTTTAAAATAGGGTTTATTGCTTAGGGTTTAGGGCTTAGTATTTAGGGTTCGCTGTCTCACTAGCTCTACTTGCACGACTTATCCGTGTGTTGGTAAACAGGAATAAGAGAAATAAATAATTAATAATTAATAAATAATAAAATATTAAATAGGTATAATAATATTGCACACCGGCGTAGCCGTGCGTCTTGCGTTGAGGCTGCATGCGTTTTGCATGCATGGCTCTGCATGCACTTTTGGGGCTTTGTGCTTTGCATGTCATCTTGGGGCTTTTTGTCTTGCATGCAGCCCCACACACCTGTCGGGCTGCATGCACCACGCATGCAGCCCGACAGGTGTGTGGGGCTGCATGCATTGTGCATGCGTTGTGCATGCATTTTGCATGCGTTTTCGATGTGTTTTGCATGCGTTTTCGACGTGTTTTGCATGTATTCTGCATGCATTTTGCATGCATTTTGCGTGCATTTTTGATGTTGCATGCGTTTAAAATATGTGGGGCTGTTGCAGCTTTTCGGAATAACGGCCATTGACGATAAGGCTTGGCACGAGGTGCTCGCAGAGTGCGACAAAAACAACGATGGAGAGGTCCGGCGTCTACACCTCAAACCCTAAACCCTAAACCCTAATAAACCCTTAAAATCCAACCTTCCTAGGATGCAAGAGGCATGCAGCAGTAAACAGCATTCTGAAGCCGCGCGTTGTGTGTGTTATTAACCTAGAATAATGAGTTTATAGCAGAGGCACTTATTTATTATTTACTTTTCATCTGCTGCTGCTATGCAAATGCATGCATGCACTGTTTGCTTGGCATTTTAAAATTCTTTTTGGGTGTATGTACGTACACCTCACAGGGAGTGGCTGTCTCTGCATTAAATGCCTTTCTTCGTTTTTTCGTTTGTTTTTCTCAGGTTGACTTTGACGAGTTTGTAGAAATGATGCAAAAAATATGCGACGTGAAAGTGCGGAACTAAACGACAAGAGCAGACAGCTAACTTGTGGATATATGTATATATATATATATCATATATTAGATATATTATATACATACTATGCCTTACATTATATATATAAACAATATATTATATATATTGTATACATAATATATATATAATATATATGTATGCATGTATGTATGTATATATCTTGTATATATGTCTGTCTTGTCAATCTATCACCAAGTGGATGCATGCGTAGATCTCTGCTTGAGCTGAGTTTGTGCGCATGGTCTGTGTGCAATAACCGGCATCTCTCTCTGCATGTCGGTAGATGGGGGCCCCCTCTGAACCCTCAAGGGGGCCCCCTGAACCCCTTTGGGGGCCCCCCTGACCCTTTAGCGGGGGGCCCCCAAGGGAGCTTGGGGGCCCCCTGCATGGGGGTGTAGGTAGAACCCTCTAAGGGGGCCCCTCTTAGGTCTGGCGGGGGCCCTGAGGCCCCTAAAGGCGTCTCAGGGGCCCTTCAAGTTAGCTGTGAGGGGCCCCCTTCAAGGTAGATGTTGAGGGTCCCCTCAAAGAAGATATAGGGGGCCTTTGTTTAAGAGCAGGCAAGCAGCAGCAGCAGCAGCTGCTGCTGCTTGGAGGGTGTTTTGTGTTATAAACAAATTACTTGGCTGTTACTCTCGTTGTTCGCGGTGAGCCTTTGCTTCCTCTTGACAGGTGTACGCATTCCGTGCATGCGTGCAGCCCGTAGCTAGCTAGCTATTTAGCTAGCTATCTAGCTAGCTACCTAGCTTGCTATCTAGCCTGCTATCTAGCTAGCTATCTAGCTTGCTACCTAGCTAGATATCTGGCTTGCTGCCTAGCTAGCTATCTAGCTAGCTATCTAGCTAGGTACCTAGCTAGGTACCTAGCTAGCTAGCTAGCTAGCTACAGGCTGCTAGCAACAGAAGAATGAAAGAGTGCATGGGGTAGTAGTAGAACCTAAAGAAGTATTTTTTTGCATTGGCTGACGCCGCACCGCTAAATTTTTCCGAACGCGAAAGTGTGTTTAAGGGGTGGGGTTGTTCGCTTCATCTCCTGCTGCTTTTGCTGCTGCTGCTTCTGCTGCTGTTGCTGCTGCTGCTACTGCTGCTGTTGTTGCTGCTGCTGCTGCTTTTGCTGCCGCTGCTGCTGCTGACGCTGCTATTACTGCTACCGCTACTGCGGTTGCTGCAATTGCTGGTGGTGCTGCTGCTTCTGCTGCTGCTGCTGCTGCTGCTCTGAGCATAAGTTTAGTTGGCGTTCACAGCCCCAAAGTTGCAGCTTCATTTGCATGCATGCGGCCAGCCACGCATCTCTGTGGGGCTGTTCCTGAGCTAAAGCATGCAGCGGGTTATTTCGTTCAAATTAAAAAACGAGGGATAGCTAGATAGCTAGCAAGGTAGCTAGCTACATTATACGGTAGCTAGTTCGCTAGCCAGCTCACTGATAGGGTAGCTAGCTGGCTAGCTAGCTACGTGTGAGGGCAGCCATCTAGGTGGCCGAATAGCTAGCTAGCAAGCTAGCTAGGTAGTTGGGTAGCTAGCTAGCTAGCTAACTATATGGGGCGGGGGGCCCCTCATCTTGTGTATTTTTGTCTTGTCTATTTTCTGCTGTCTCTGCAGTTGATGCACTATTTGAAGCCGGCAGCGCAGCAGCAGCAAATGCATCATGAATTGCTGCTGCTGCACCTTCTGCTGCTGCAGCCTGTATTTCTACTTGGTCTGCTGCAGGGTCTGTGGGTGTGGTGGCGGTGTCCCCCGCTGAAGCAGCAGCATCAGCAGCAGCAGCAGCAGCAGCAGCAGCCGCCGACGCAGCAGCAGCAGCAGCTTGGTTTCGCAGCAGCTCAGCATTGTCTGCTGCTGCCTCTGCTGCTAATGCTCTCTCTGCTGCAGGAACGATGAACACAAGAGGCAAATATAATAACCAAGCGACGCCGTACACTGCCGCCGTCACCTTAAATGCAAAGCTGAAAAAAACAAACAAACACCAATAAATATATAAATATATAAATATAAATATAAATGTAAATATATATATATATATAAATATATAAATATAAATATATATATATATATATATTATATTCAATACATATACATATGTAGGCACACTCTATATATATATATATATATATTATGTATATAAGATGAATACACAAACATGATAATAATATTGTACTGTATATTATTATAATATTCAATGTAGCATTCAATAAGACGTATATTTGATTATAATATATAAAATAATAAAAATAAAAACAAAGAAAATAACAATATACCCAATGAATAATAACATATATATAAATACATATATATAATATTATATATATAAATATGTATATATATAAAATATAATATATATATATATATATCTGCTGAAAATATACATATTTATCTAATATATATATATATATGTATATACATATATATACATATGTATATATACAAACAGATATAGCATTTTATGATACACATATTTGATGATATAATATAAAATAATAAAAACAAAGACATGCAAAAGCAAACGATTTGGTCAACTTCTCACGTATAATTTTTCTCCGCCAGAATACCGCCTAAGAAAGCGCTGCCACTCCAAATAGTCGAAGTGAAGGTCTCGACTGCACTCCACTTGCCTCTGTCTGTGCCTGTTCATAAACCCTAAACCCTAAACCCTAAACCCTAAACCCTAAACCCTAAGGGAAGTGAAGGTCTCGACTGCACTCCACTTGCCTCTGTCTGTGCCTTTTCATAAACCCTAAGCCCTAAAGCCTAATCAATGAAGCATACACCTTGAACTCTAAACCCTAAACCCTAAACCCTAAACGCTTAAACGCAAATTCCTGAAGCCTAGAGGCGGTTTTGAAATATTTGTGGTTGAGGGTTTAGGGTTTGTGGCTGTTTTTTGCATTCTAGGGTTTTTCATGGTTTAGGGTTTAGGGTTTGTGCTTGAGGGTTTGTGCTTTGCAGTTTAGTTTTTATTGTAGTTTAGGGTTTAGGCTTCGTGCGTTGTGTTGTTTGCGTTTGTGGTTTAGGGTTTGTCTTATACAGTTTGTTGTTGAGGCTTAGGGTTTAGGGGGTAGGGTTTGGAGTTTAGGGTTTAGGGTTTATTAGGGTTAAGGGCTTGCGTTTACACTTGCTGAAGTCGCCAACAACGGAGCGGCCGATAGGTCAACTATAATTTAGGGTTTAGGGTTTATTAGGGTTTTAGGGTTTAGGATTTATATTAAGGTTTAGGATTTATATTAGGGTTTAGGGTTTATTAGGGTTTATTAGGGTTTATTAGGGTTTAGGGTTTACTTTTGCTGAAGTCAACAATAACGGATCTGTCGATTGGGTAATTAGAATTCTGCAGACCTCCTCGAATTAAATGTGCAACGACGAGTAAATAAATATTTTCGCTGTAGCACAGAATACCTAATGCTAATAGACCAAGAAGTGAAAGCAACTGAGAAGCAAACGCGCGGCCTGCAGCAGCAACAAACAACAACACAAACCCTCTTAAACCCTAAACCCTAAACCCTAAACCCATGCAACACCACACGCCTCATCCACACTGCATGCCTTCTCGTCGTTCCCCTTATAACTAGCTAGCTAGCTAGCTAGCTCGCTAGGTAGCTAGCCAGACAACTATATCGCTAGCCAGCTAGCAAGACAACCAGCCAGCTAGCTAGCCACCCACCTAGCTAGCTAGCTAGCTATCGAATCAGCCGTCCAGCCACCCAGCCAAGTACCTAGCTAGCTAGCTACCCATGGACTCAGCTAGCCAGCTAGCTAGCTAGCTAGCTAGCTAGCTAGCTAGCTAGCTAGGTAGCACTAAGAAGGCATAGCTTACCAAGGTACTTTGAGATTTTTGAAGCGAGCGAAATGAAGAAGACGATTGAAAAGCCGTAAGCAACGCCAAGGAGAGACAGCTGAACAGGACTAAAATTATATTTATCTGTAAAAAATATCGGAAAGAACTTCACCGTCATCCCCGCACCCATCGAACGAACTAAATCCGCAGTGCTCACAATAAAAGGCACACTCCTGCAAACATACAAACCCTAAACCCTAAACCCTAAACCCTAAACCCTAGACCCTAAACCCTAAAAGGGAAAAGGTAAACCCTAGAATCTGAACGCTAAACCGTAGACAATAAGACCTGAAACTGTAGGAGGGCCGAAAGTGTTTCAAGGTCCGTCAGACAGATAATTTCACTTCAAACCCTAAACCCTAAACCCTAAACCCTAAACCCTAAAACCTGAGATTATACCTGTAAAGCCAGGGGAGACGAGAGAGTTGTTCATCGTTTGCTGCGATGACTGCTGCTCCCTCTGTCTCTTGCGGTGTATGTTCAGGTATTGCTTCTTCACTAGGAGATTCAACTACAACACCGACTCTATGAATACCCAGCAAAGCAGAGCTCGTATCAAAGGCCTCCAGCGCTCCTGCTGCCTCCCCTCCTCCCCTGCTGCTGCTGCTGCTGCTGTTGCTGCTGCTGCTGCTGCTGCTGCGAGCAGAAGAGACGTTGGTGATGTGGGGCTGCACTCTGCCTCGGCGTCTGTCCTGTCCCCACCAACCAACAAAAACACAATAAGGTGTACATACAGCTCAGCCTGACAAAGGTGTATGCACGCATTATATATTCATAAGTATATTTAATCTCTCTCTCTCTCTCTCTCTCTCTATATATATATATATATATATATATATGTTGCGGTGTACGTCGAGGTGAAGCAGTAATCTGAGGTGTATATACACCTGAAGAGCTAAAGCATCCGTACCCTTTGTAAGTCAACGAAGAAGCAAAGCAGCAAACTCGAGAGGGGCCCAAAGAGAAGACTCGCAAAAATAATTAAATGCTTTATTATCTTCAGCTCCCAGTTGTCTTCGTACTTAAGAAAAAAACAAATTGAAAGCAGCGGAGACAGCGCCCAGGTGCCGCTTTGCAGCATACCTATTGTAACAAACGCACAAACCCTAAACCCTAAACCCTAAACCCTAAACCCTCGCCTGAGACCCGCATAGCAAAGAAGGCGCGTGATGAACTGTACACCCAGCCACAGAAGGAACAACCCGCCAATCGATGGTTTAGGGTTTAGGGTTTAGGGTTTAGGGTTTACCCTTCCAGCTAAACCATTGCGTCCTCTGCCCTCTGGGTAGAGAATCAGCAAAGATTGCATTAGTAGAGCTATTAGAAGCCTCAAGAAAGAGACCCCACACAACGAGAGAAGCAACAATAAGAGACAATGAATCTGTATATACACCCCAAAAGCTTAGCACTGTTCCTGCTATCCCCAGGACGCACAACACCTGCACGCAAACAAACACCGTCAATATCAGCCTCCAATAAACCCTAAACCCTAAACCCTAAACCCTAAACCCTAAACCCTAAACCCTAAACCCTAATGGCATAAACTCGCTAGACCGTAGAGTTTCTTAAATATAATAAGAATGTATTTTTTCTTTACTCTGAATAATAATAATAATAATAATAATAATAATAATAATAATAATAATAATAGGAGTTAATAATAATAATAATAATAATAATAATAAGAGTAAACAAATGACTTAGTTATCTGTACTTTGCACATAAAATAATCAAAACAAAAATAATAAAAATAATAATTTATATACATCACAATAAAAATAAAGATAATATTTTGTTTATATTTACTTTGCACATACCACAATACAAATAACAACAAAAAAACAAAACAATAATAATAATTTATTCGTCCTTACTTTGCATATACTACCTGCACTTCAACTACTCCTCCTCTTCATAATACACTTCGTATAATTATAATGTTAATAAATATTATTATTATTATTTTATTATTATTATTATAAAGATATTATTATATTTTAAAGGGTTTACTTTGCATATATTATCTCTTGGGTATTTATCTACGATATATCCAACAGGCGCAGCAACAATCAGAGCGACGACCCCACTGAGGCTTTCGAGGTCGCCGACCCACCTGCACATACACCCCAAGTGCAGCAAGAATAATAAATAATAAATTATAAATTATAAATAATAAATTATAAATTATAAATTATAAATAGTAAAATAAATAAATTATAAATAATAAATTATAAACTATGATATACTAATTATAAATAATAAATTACAAACAATAAATAATAAATAATAAATAATAAATTATAAATTATAAATTATAAATAATGAACAAATAAATGAATAATAAATAATAATAAATAATAATAAATAAAATATCTAAATAACAAACGGACGGCCTTTCAATATAGCAATAAAACTCGCGTTCACAACAAATGCAGCAAAATATAATAATAAAAATTATAATAATAAATAGGAGGAATAATAAAACAACACAAACAAATACAGAAAAAAACACCAATACCAGCGACAAAAGCAATATAACTATCGCAATAATAATAATAATAGTTGTAACAAATAATAAAATAAACAGCAATAATAATAATAATAATAATAATTATAACAATTATAAGCATTATACATACACAAGCAATAATAATAATAATAATAATAATAAATAATAATAATAATGCACAGACTATGAGAGAGGAGAGCCTTCTTCACTGCTTTTTTTGGGTTAACAGAAGAAAAGAAGACAGAAAAATATAACGCGAAATCCACAGAAAAAGCAGCAAAAAATATTAAATAAATATATAATATGAACAGCAAACAAACAAATAAATAAACAAACATGCAGAGAAAACAAAGAAGTAGAGAAAACAAAGAGAGACAGAAATCAAGACAAACAGAAGACAGAAAAAACATAGAGGTGTACATACACCCCATGCATGCGAGCTTCAAATATAACAATACAACAGCAAAGAAGAGAAAGAATATGCATATATCGTATTAATTTCAGGTGTACGTACACCTCAGCTGCTGCTTACTTGGTGCTGTGGTTGCCCAGAATAAATATATACATATCGAAGACAGGCCCCTGTGCGAATGCAAAGAAAATAGTCGTGAGGGCTGTGAACGCCAGCAATAAGGAGACATTTCTCCTTCTAATTCGCGTATATCTGCTCCATCCGTCTCCAACTGCTGCAGCATTTGCTGCTGCTGCAGGGTACACTGCTGCTGCTGCTGCTGCTGCTGCTGCTGATGCTGCTGATATACGCCTCTCTGCTTGATCTTCTCTAGACAGCAACAAGGGCTCTGTTGGAGCTGATGAAGGAAATAAATCTGGTGGATGTTCTGCTGCTGTTTTTATCGTCACCACTAATGCATCGTTCTCGTCTGCTGCAGCAGGTACACGTGCTGCTGCTGCTGCTGCTGCTGCACCTGCTGCTGCTCCTGCTACCGCTGCTGCTGCTGTTGAGTGGCAGCTATTCACAAGCGGCTCTCTTCTTTCTGCATCCCCCACATCTTCCGTTATGCTTTGCCCTATGGCATGCTTAAACATGGTCGAGCGATATTCAAGTAAATACTAAGTAATGATTTGTGCTGCTGCTGCTGCTGCTGCTGCTGCTGCGGTTGCCGCTGCAGGTGCTGCTACTGCTTAGTAGCACCGACTAGGCAGAGAGGAAGAGATAAGTCAACGAATGAGGTACGTCTTCATTCTGTTGCTGGTGCTGCTATTGCTGCTGCTGCTGCTGCTGTTCCTGCTGCTGCTGGCGTTGCCGCCGCAGCGGTTGTCCGCGTTCAAATTCCGCAGTCGTCCTTGTTGGCGCGTGTAGCTGAGCTGAAGAGTTGAAGAAAGTATTTTCGTATTTGTCTTCGCCTGTCTGCTGTATGAGGACCACCGGTGTGCATTCGCAGTGATGGTGGTGTCGCCTGATATACGCCCATCAGCCATCAAGATGCAGCATTTGCGAGGGATACAGCAGCCGAGCTGCAGCAGGATGGAGGGAGAAACACACGAGAAAAACAGAAGAAGGGGGTAGAGGGGAGTATATAAATTGGCTATGAAGTATTCAAACCGTTGGGAGCCGTGTGGCCTTGAGCAGAGGCAGCAGCCTCAGGCAGTAACGTGTAATTGACGAAGAACAAAGTAGAAATAAAACTTCAAAATGAAAAATAAATTCGCTGAAAGGAAAGGATCCTGTGAAGAAAACGGAAGAACGGAGGGAAAATGCGAACGCCGAGAAGCCAATCAATCACTCGCTGGGGCTGGCAGCCACGGAAGCTGTCCATTAAATAAAGTTTCGAGGGTTTTCTTTAGAACATTTGCAGAAATATATTAGTTTTAATGCGTTTTTCGTATTAATCTTCCTTTATTTATGCTGAATATGTATCAGAACTCGTAGAAGAGCAAGCACGGCGAAGCAGTCGTTGTTCTATGAAGGTGGGCATACACCCCAGATATAGTGGCAAACATGAACTTGCCTAGATGTCAAGCGGGAAAGAGAGGAAATAAAAAGGTAAATAACAGTTTTTCGACATTTAAAAGCTTATTTTTGATAATAAAACTTGAGGAAGTCTTTCAGGACGATGTTCTGCTCATCTCAACCCATTGATACTTGAAATTAAGAAAATGCGAGTAAGAGGAAACGGAAATCGTGAAATCGACGAACAAACCAGTTAAATCCATTCAATTTCCATTTAAAGCCTTAAAAATAATTGCATTTTAGACATATACATTGGTGCATCTTTAACTGTTCTGTTCTCCCCTTTAGAGGTTTCAAGGGGTCCTTCCCGCCTTCGCCTTCAATGTTGCAGAAAAGGCAAACGCAGCAATGTTGACAAACCTCGAAACGGCAAATATGGATTTCTTTAGCATATAAGATTATTTAAACGCTGTTTTTGCTTTCCTGCAGTGTATCAAGAATAAAGGATTTCTCAAGCCACTAGCAGAGCTCAGTTCAGACGCCAGGCTAAAATGTAAAGAAGAGGTAGTCGGAATCTGAAGAGGAATCTGTATAACGAAACCTGAACAAGAATCTGAATAACCTGAATAAGAACCTGAATAACTTGCTGAATAAAAAAGTATGAATGAGTCTATGAACGCTGGCCTTAGAAGAAATACGTTTTCTATAATTGGATACATAGTACGGTGCAGCAGGATGTAGTTTGGGGTGTATCTACAGCAAACGCTGTTGAATATAGAGAGGGCAATTGTTTCGTGAAGCCTTAGAAGAATGGAGAAAAATTTGAAGTTCTTTGCCTAATGGGCACCGGCAGAAGGGCCGGGTAGTCTGACCTTAACGTAAGTGTTGCATGCAAAATCAAAATGCATGAATATATGGAAGTATGTATATAATTTGTTGTGTAGCACAGAGAGGCACCGAAGACACGAAAAAAAGGAGGGATTTATTCATATTCATTTAAGCCTGGACAGTGAAGGTGTTGGATTGCTGCTGCTGAGTGCGGAAGCTGGTGAGCTGCTGTTTAAGCTGCTGAATGTTGTTTGTTTGCTGGGTAGCGATCTGCTGGATTTCGGTTTCAAGGACCTGTTCAACTGGGGTGTATTGGCAGCCGTTTAGAGAGGCGATGTAGTTGTTTGTGAAGAAACCATTTGCAACGAAGAGCCCCTCCTGGAGCCCTACGAATTCAAGAACAGCCTTCTTCCACCCTTTGTTTGCAACCTGCAAGATGAAAGGAAGAGATGTCTGTGAAATAGCAGTGGAGGCAGTCTGAGGTGCAAGAGAAGAGATATCAGTTGGGGTGTACATGCGGATACCGTTCCATGTATGCGTGTTAGTGTTGTTGTTGTTGTTGTTGTTGTTGTTGTTGTTTTCAATGGTTTGGTTGGTGGTGGCGAAGTTCCCTCCTCTGCATGCAGCCAGATCAATTGCAATAGAGCCCTGAGGCAGCAACTGCATCTGCTGTTCATTAATAAGAATAGGAGCCTTGCAAGTCGGAGGAATAACGCAGCCAAGAACAACATCAACGTTAGGAAGGATCTTTTCAAGATTGTTGTGAGTATACTGAAGTGTATATACATTGAAATTTCCAGTGTTGTTCTCCAAGTTGTTCAGAGCCTCCATGTTGGTATCCATAACAGTAACACGAGCTCCCTGAGCTGCAGCAAGCATAGCTGCACGTACACCGCAAGGCCCAGCACCTAGAATCAAGACATTGTTTCCAAGTGTACCCGTAACACCACCGAAGAGTATTCCTTTCTTTTCAGAGATCATCTGCATTGCCTGCTGTACACCCAGATATCCAGCAACCTCGTTTACTGCATTATGCACAGGGGTGAATGCAGTGGTGGTGGTGTTGAGGGTAGAAGGAGTGCTCTGAAGGGTAGAGTAAGAGATAAGAGTTGCCTGAAGACGATGCAAGACCTGCATAAAACGCTGCTGCTGCTGCTGCTGATCCTTTGTCGCTGCAGAGCTAATGAAGCAGAATATAACCTGCTGAGGCTGAATGTACTGGTACTCCTGCTCCTGAGGGGTGTAAACCTGCAAAATAAAAACAAATACGCTCAAACACTATATATTATACGCATCCTCATTATCTACACCCCGTGTATCTAAACCCCACGCTAAAAAGAAAAAACTGCGCTGTACATACGCTTTAAACTGCGGTGTATATACACCTAAATCAGCACATTAAGCTGCGGTGTATATACACCTAAGCCAGCATCTTAAACTGGGGTGTATATACACCTAAACGAGGATCTTAGAGTGCGATGTATGTATGCAAGTAGAGGTGAACAGACCTTAAGGATGATGCGAGAGTTGCGGTAGACTTCCTCTGCAGTGCGGCACATCTGTGCACCAACTTTGGTGTATTCAGCATCAGTGAAGCCTGCACGAGTTGCAAAGCCTGTCTGGAAGTAGACAGTGTGCCCGTTCATAATAAGCTCCTGTGCAAGAGAAGGAGTAAGAACAACGAGATACCCCTGGTTTGTTTCATTGACAGCACCTACTGCTGTATGCTGAAACACCATCTGCTGCTGAGGAGAAGACAGCCAGCAGGTTTGGCTGGTATAAGTAGCGAAGTTCTGAGTATTAACCATTTTCAAGAAGAAGATTTGAGGTGTATGTACACCGCGGAACTGGAGTATGAGGAGCGAGGAGAAGATATACGAGAGAGTAGAAGAAGATGTGTAAATGAATACAAACAAATATGTGATTGAATGTTTTTTTATATTCTTCTTCCTTATTTTAATATTATTTCATTCAAACAAGGGGAGAAACCTAGCACCCACTGACAGCGACGTCTATCTATCATCCGCCTGCGCGCCGGCGCAACGCGAGCTCGCTCAGGGCCTCTGTGATCTGCAATAAAGAACAAAACTTTTTATTTTCATTTACTTAAATATGTTTATTTATATTTAAATATATTTATTTCAATCAAATTAAACCTCCAAGAGAAATATTGCTGCAACGCACACCAGATCCGCTACCCACCAACTCCGCTCGTCAGATCTACCTCTTCATGAAGAAGAACAATAAAAGAAATAAATATTATTCAAAGACTTTTTATTTTGTTTTTTATTTATTAAACAAAATACAATATTATTTTAAAATTAACAACAAAATCTACAATGACTGGAAAACAAAGACAGGGGGCATCGATGGCCACTCGCTAAGTTTTTCTTTTTTCAGCTATTTTCATTAAATGATAGTACTGTTATTATTAATATTTGCTTTGTAAATACTTTGATTTGTTTTATTTTACCCTTTCTACTCCCGTATTATTATTATTGAATTTGTTTGTCTATACTTCCTTAGATCGAGTGATATAAGGCAGTATAGGAAGAGAAGAAGAAAACAACAAACAGCACGAAATATAACAATATGCATGCAAATAAATTATTTATTATTAATACGCTTTTAAGCTCTATCTGTATATACACCTAAAATGCAGTTATCTATCCCTCTTCTATAAACAATCTACAGCTGCAGTGTATGTACACCACAGATGATTTTATTAAGAGGGTTTATGATTTATTATAACTTCATTGTAAGGATGTCTCTGCCGGTTAGAGATAAAAGAAAAGAAAGTAATGAAAATTTAGGTTAATAGACATCCGTCTTCTTATTAATTAACAACAGCAGCTATGCATACACCTCATCATAAATACCTGCATGCAGCTCCCCCGTCTCCCAGGTGTTCCATTATAATTAATTATTTATTTTCTTTGTTTTTAATAATAATAACCCGCTGCATGCAGAAGGAGAGCAAGCAGCAGTTTGGCGCATGCAGCAGCCAGCTGTCTGCGTGTACACCGGACGGCTCTGCATTACTTGCAGATTCCTTTTGTTTATTTTTATTTTATTTCTTTTTATTAACAGACATGCAGTGAATACTTCGATTCTACAGCAGGGAAACAAAGAGCAGCTGCACATACACCGCAGCTCGCTGCATCAAACGCAATTAAAAAGACCGTCTCTCCTTCTGCATGCAAATTTTAAAATTTGTATTTACTCAAACAAAAACAAACTGTTACCAACGACGCAAGCCCGCACGTCATGCCTGACTTGCCACCTAGCTAGCCAGCTAGCTAGCTGGCTAGCTAGCTAGCTAGCTGGGTAGCTAGCTAGTTGGCTGGCGGGCTAGCTAGCTAGCTAGCCACACACACACCTGAAGTGATACCCAGACAGCTGTTCAGCTGTGGGCGACGGAGGCCGGGCACCCGTCAAACCCTAAACCCTCGAAGTTACACCCTAAACCCTAAACCCCAAACCCTAAACCCTAACAAAGGGCAGGCGAGCGCCGGAAGCGCCAACCGCCAAGGTGGATAGCTCTACGGCCGTGCAGATATCAATGCATATTCATTCACTGCAGACCAGCTAGCCACCTTGAGCTAGCTAGCCACTCAGCTAGCTAGCTAGCTAGCTAGCCAGCTAGCTGCTGTCTCCCACGCCGGCTGTCTGTTGAAATCGTGAGTGACATGGAGGGTCCCTGTAAAGCCCTCCAGCTACCTAGCTATCTATCTATCTAGCTAGCTAGCTATCTAGCTAGCTAGCTATCTAGCTATCTAGCTAGCTAGCTGAGGAGGCATCCTCTGCAAAGGGCCAGCGCTGCATTCTATCGACCCAATCCTTCGTACTCTGACCAACCAACCATCCGCCCTTTGTTCCAGTGTGCTGCAGAAAGGACCGCTCCTGCAGCAGGTGCAGCAGCAAAAGATGCAGCAGCAGCAAGAGATGTAGCAGCAGCAGCAGCAAGAACGGCAGCAGCAAAAGATGCAGCAGCAGCAAAAGATGCAGCAGCAGTAAAAGATGCAGCAGCAGCAAGAGATGCAGCAGCAGCAAGAGATACAGCAGCAACAAGAGCTCCAGCAGCAGCAGCAAGAGCTGCAGCAGCAGCAGCAAGAGCTGCAGCAGCAGCAGGACACTGAAGCCTTAGAAAGCGTGCATGTGGTGTATATACAGCGCACCAAGTACTGCAGCCTCTTCAACAACTCCGAAGAAGAGACAGCTGCTTTGCTGCTGTCGAGGGCAGCCCCTCCCTTCACTGCAACAGCCACTTCGTTCACGTCCTTAGCACAAACAACAAACACTGCGCTAACTACTGTAGCTAGCTAGCTAGCTAGCTACTTAGGTAGCTAGGTATCCTGATAGCTATCCAGCTAGGCCGCTAGCTAGCTAACTAGCTAGCTAAATGCCTAGCTAGTCAGCCACCTAGCTAAATTCTCAGCTACTTAAGTAGACAGCTTGATGTATAGCTTCTTAGATGTGTAGATGGCTAGCTAGTTAGATAAATAGGTACATAAATAGCTAGCTGGCTAACTGGACATTAGCTAGGCAGCTAGCTAGCTAGCTAGCTAGCTATAGGGAGAGCTGGCTAGCTAGCTAGATAGCTAGCTAGCTAGAAAGGCTGGTATAATCACCTCAGGCACAGTGAAGACCGCGACGAAGGGAAATTCAGCATTGAGTTGATCTAACAGCTGAAAAAGAGACAGACAAAAGAATATATAAAATAAAGAGACAGATAAAATAAAGAGACAGATAAAATAAAGAGACAGACAAAATGAAGAGACAGATAAAATGAAGAGACAGACAAAGTAAAAAGATAAACAAAATGAAAAGACAGACGAAAGAAAGGGACACAGAAAAGGAGACAGACAAAATAAAGAGAAGAAACAAAAAAAACGAGACAAACAAAAAAGAATATATATATATATATATATATTGTATATGTATATATATATATATATATATATTGTATATATATATATATATATATATATATATA